ATTTGACGCGATGTGTATTTTCCCCGCAATTTAAAGCATTACAAGCTGTTCCGAATCAACCACGTGTTCCCACCCCACTGCCCCCTCCTGGGTTGGAGTCGTCATCATCTCTCACCTGGGTCCCTGGGGAGCCTCCTGCCTGGTTTCCCGATAGCTGTCAGAACGGCCACCCAGGGGGTTTTATGAACATCCACGGCAGAGTGCGTCATTTGCCAGCTCCCGGTCATGCAATGCGCACCCTGTCATCGGGGGAAAGCTAGCATCCTGAGCTGGCCTCCGGGCCCCATGCACCCCATCCCCATCTGCCCTTCCTTCTCCTGCTAGCCCTTCATTCCCACCTGAGTCTCCTTGCTTCTCCTCTGCCCTAGGGCCCTTGCGCTTGGCTGGCTCCCACACTCCTTCCTTGCGGTCTTTGTTCCCATGCCCCTTGCTCCAAGGGGCCCACCCTTTGCCTCCCCAGCCTGACGCCTCGCCCTGCACCCTATTTCCCTGTGCTTCTGATGGCCACTTGCTCTTCGTTGTCTGTTGCCCCTCCCGGGAACAGCCACTTCCAGAGAGGGATCTCGGTTGGTTTGTACAGATGGGCCCCAGAGCGTACAACAGTGCTGGGCACCCAGTAGGTGCCTCCGAAAGGACCCGGGGATGACGTGGCAGCTGCATCTGCTGTGTCAAACATTGGGCTGGCACTTTTCTGAAGAATGTCCCCTGTGACAGGCAAGGACACTGAGCGACCACCATGGCAGAGCCTGGAAGGACAGGAACTCCAGAGGCGTGCAGTAGCTCAGAGGTGACCCGAGAAGACCAAGGCAGTCCCGAGGGAGCACACTGGAGTGAGTGACTTGGGGCGGTCTCAGCAATGGGCAAGCAGCCCAATACCTGTCCTTGCACTTTCTATATGGTGCACGTTTCCATCCTCTGAGGACGTTTGGAGCACAGTAGGGAGGCCGGCAGCCGAAAGGAAATGGTCACATTCGACCGCGTACAAAGTAAAGTGCTAAGTGTATTCCACACACAAAGGCAGAAGGGAGGCAAGCCAGAGGCCCCAGAGCCAAGTCCAGATGACAGTCCACCCCATGACTCCTAATCAGCTCCATCTCCCATAGGCCTGGAGTCACTTTGCAGTAGGTGGATTAGAGGCAAGTCTGGCAGCTAATCCCCCGCCTGCCCAGCGAGGGCAGGAGCCCCGGAGAGGACGGGGCGCGAGGGGCGCAGGGCCAGGGGCCCTCGTCGAGCTGCTGTGTGCTGACGTCTCTTTTCTCTAAGTGCATCCGCCAGACCCGTAGCGGCGGGTGGGCCGCAGCCTTCCTCGGCCTCCTCCCTCAGCGCTTCCTCCCTCCTGGCCCTCCCGCTGCTCGTGTTCCGGTCACCCCGGCCCCACCTGCTCCCCCCCAGCCACTGCCCCCTTCCTCTGGCGGCCACCATTTTGGAGACCGTCCAGCTGACTCGCCCCACTCAGTGAGCTGGCGGTGGGGGCCCCGAGCACACGTGCCCTGGCGCATGCAGGGGGACTGCCAGGGCACTGATCTGCTGTAGGCTAAACTGGGACTTGATCTCCTGCTAGCCCTAATCCTCAAGCGGCGCCCCCGCCTCCCC